TAAATAACTAGGTGAGCTATTTCTGGAAAATAACTTACCGGATGAATTTAGCCTTTTCTTCCTGTGAGTGAACTGTTTTCAGACTCTCTGTCAACTGTATTTTACATGCAGTAGTATTATTTGTGCTTTGTCTAAGCGTACACTGGCTATGGATTCTCGCTGTGCTCATGGATAGAACTGTGATTTTAAGTACCCGCTGCTGGTTATTCATAGCACACATTTAGTCATTTAACAAACATGGTATTAGTTCTGCTCTCTAAGTGGATGACTAATACTTATAAATAGGAGGAATATGATCTGAAAGGTCACGTGAATGTTCCCAGTGTGAGCATATCCCCAAACTACGAGACTTCTCATTCCAGGCGCATGATTGCAAAACAAGAAAATGCTCATTATTAGGAAGCAGAAAAAAGGTTCCGAACCCATTCAAGCAATTTCTCTGCTTTAATTCAAACAATTTGCAATTGTTTATTGAGCTGTGCATTGCAAAAGGTTTTTGCAATGTTTGCTTTTCCCTGCAGTTTCTCCTGACCTGCTTGGAAACATAGGAATTGCCCCGATGGAACAGTCCTAATCTCTCTCTTCTGTGCCAGTGCTCTCCCTTGGAACATAATAGGACCTGAATGTTTCTTAAGTAGATATAAGAAACATCCTTTAACTTTCTTCCTAAGCTCCTTCACATCCCATTGGAAAGTAAGACAGTGCTTAACACTGAATTCCAAAGGAAGTGAGAAGAGTGCATAGTACAGGTTTCTGCACTGCCTGTAAACAGAGGGCTTTCCTCAGCTCAGTACCATGGAGAGAAGATGCTGTGCTGCCCAGGCTTTGGAGGAGCAATGGGGAGTGCTGCCTCGGAGGTGGAGTGCTAATGCACCCTCCTGAGAGGTCAGGTTTTCTGTTGGAGAGCACAGGAGGTAAAATGCAGATCAGCTGTGCATTTTACACAGCTGATCTTGTTTTTTCATTTTTATCAAATGAAAACAAAATAACTGAATGCTGCTGCTCTCCTGCCATTGCGAGGTTTGGTTTATGTTCACAGGAATACAAAGCTAAGGAAGGGAGGACTGGTTGCCTCAGGACAGCTTTATTTCATGGCTGTGCCACAGGCTCACTGAAGGTTTGTCTGTAGCATATGCTTAGCCTGGGTTTGAGCCCAGTCTATCTTCATGTACTGCCTATTTGGGCAATTAAAGCCCTCGGGTAGCCTGCGGCACCCGCTTGGTCAAGTCTGAGGTCCTCCTTGGCTGGAGCATTGAGGAGAAGGCCAGCGTGCTGGGCTGGGGCAACAGGGTCCCATGGAGGCCATGTGCCAGGGACTGTGCTGCTGCTGCTACTATCACTGTGATGTCCCTCTCCTGCTTGCTGCAGTGTGAAGTCAAAAGGAAGCTCTTTCAGTGGAGGAACAGGCAACCACATCACTATCTTTCCCCTGTCTACAACTGGGGTATAACCTGGTGGGCTTTGGGATGGTGGAGCAATGCAGGGGGAGATGGTGCTGGGGGCACATTCAGCTCCCATCTGGGAGGTGGTACTGGCTGAATCAACACTTCTCTGCTCAGCCTCTTCAGTGTCAGATGTGGTGGTGGTTATAAGACGCCTGTAGCCAAAGTTAGTTTGACTTCCCACTGAAACAAGGTGGAAGAGAGGACTTGCATGGTTGGCTGAGAGACGTGTCCTGATCAAAACAGAGGCAGGTACACTGTGTCACTGGGCAAAGCCCAAGGCACCAGCCTGGGTGGCATCTGACTATGTCTGTGCTAATAAACCAGGCAGGTACAGGAGCTGCACTCTGCTTTGTGGCTGAGTAACACTGTTTGGCCATGATGTGACAGATAAACCTTCTTGCCCTCCAAAACTATGTGGCCATATACAAACTACCTATTTGGAACAGTCCTGGCTGATGATAACTCCTGGACTGTGCTTAGGAGCAGTTTGGGAGAGTGCTGTTTCACCCAGGCCAAAAATGTAGCCAGGACCACGCTAAGAGCTGGAGGGATGGATGGTTGAACTCCACCACTTGTGCACTGGCATCTAGAGCTTGATATCCTGCTCTAGGTGCTACCAGTCTGGCTGGTGTCAGGGAAGTTACCTAATGCATGATACAAGAAAGAGAAGACTTTCAGCTTCATTTCTAGCTTTTCTCCCTTTGTGCTCTCTCTCACACTGGGGTAAGAGTGTATCCTTACCTACAGAGTAGTGAGACTGGCAGAATTGGATACACTGGGGAAGTGGGGTGTGGCAAAAGTTCAGTTCACTGCTGTGGTTTCTAGAAATTTGATTCAATGAAGAGTGATATGGTATACCATAAAGATGGTATTCCAGTTCACAGACCTATTGTAATTGTGTCCATGCTTATTATACGGTTACAGAAATGCATTAGCATTAAAATACGTGGGATAAAAGCAGTCAGTTTTTTTCTATATTCTCCTACCAGCCTTTCTCTTGACTTTAGGTTGCTTATTGGAAAGGACAGTTGAGGCTCTGAGTCTCCCCAAAGTGGTCTATATGCAATCAAGAAGTCCCAGAGATTTGATAGACTATACATGATGTTTCTTTCTGAGCACACAAATGTGGTTCCTAACTTGAGCAGTCGCAGAGGTTTGATTTCAGTGGAAGATAATATATATGTGATACTTGATTGAGAAGTGCATATGCAGGGCTTATGAAACAGTATGCATGTCTGCATGGGCGGGCATTAAAATAACAGGGTGAAGGTGCTTGCAAAATATTATTTACCTGCTGGCTGAGATTTATCTGCCTGCCTTAGGGACTCCTGGCTTCTGTGTCTCAGATTTTGTTCCTAGAGAAAAATTTGGTGTAAAAAACTGTTTGGGGGTGCTCTCCTACAGCTAGCACTGGGGGGCTGAGTGGTACACTTAAACTGAATTCTAATGTTCCACCCAGGTTATTTTGGGTGTGCCAATATTTGCTTGCTTGTGAGTGCATCTGGATTTCTTCTCTCCCTTGGTCAGCACAGAAGCATTTCTCTTATTCACGGCAAATAGCTGGTAGTGGGGGGGGGCAGGTCTTGCTTGTGGCTTTTGGCCAGCTGACAAAGGACAGTGATAAAAACAGAGAAACAGATGGGAAGAAAGGAATATATAGTGTAATTATACCTGATAAGGATCAGCATGACACTGTGTGTGCTATGTACATGTTTGAAACCTACACACACAAACACATAAAAGAAAACATTCAAGTCGTGGAATCAGATTCTTCCACACAGCAGCCAAAATTACGTGAGGAAATGAAACAGGGTTTTTTTATACTGTGGTACTGTCAGTCAGAGCCTCCCCTCTGACTGCACCTGGGAGAAGAGCGTGTTAGGTGTGAGCAGAATAACTGATTGGTTCATAACCAGCATGACAGAAACCCGTGTAGCTCCTCACTGCAGCACCTTCCTGTGCCGGCTGCGTGTCTGAAGCAGGCATCATGACTAATCAAAAGCAAGCATAATCACATCCATCTTGGGCAAGATCCTCAGAGGTGACTGCTGGAAAAACGCATCTGCATGTTCCAGATAGATCTTTTTCAGTGCTGTTCGAATCTCGCTCTCTACATGTGAATAAATGCAGACCTGTGTTTGGATGTTGCAGGGCAGTTGCACTTCTGAACAGGAGCCATTTTGCAAAGGAGGAAGGAGAAGCAGCTACCCTACTCCAAAGTTGCCATCTCTCTCCTGGGGTTCAATAAAATCAGAAAGCAAGCCCCCAGAGCTTTCTCCTTTTCCATGGTGACACAACAGAACAAAACAGGATTTCCTTCAGAGCAGTAACAGGACAGGCTTTGCAGCATTTTTACAAGGGTGAATTTAGAGACCAGAGAATGGTATTTCCAAGTGCATTTCCCTTCCTACAGCTTTTCTTTTTCATCTCCATAAATCTGTGTCAGTTTTTAAAGTACCTATTTTGGGGGGAGGGAAAGGGAGGGGGACAGAACAAGTGATGAGCTATTCAGAGCTAAAAGAAGAGATTCATGCCGCCAGAGGTAAGACTGTAGAAAAATGTGTCAGCGTAGCAGATGATCATTCTCCTCTCTTAATGCCTCTCCTGAAGCATCAAGGTGTACGTGTTTCTCAAAGGGGCTGTACATCTCAGAGGTAGTCTATGAGCTGCATGTTGAAGTGGTTGCCATGGTAGTGACTGAGTATAAGTTAGAAAGCGTGATTAGCCAGAGTTGGCCTAAATAGCTGAAGGGAAAGAAAAAGAAGGGGTGAGGGGGAAGACCAAGGACTTTCTGTTATTTTTAATACAGATCCGTCTGTATTAAGCTGTGCCAGGAAGAGGAAGTGTTGCCGATAGAGAGGAGCATGTAGGAACGTGCTCCGCACCCCAGCCCCAGCTGGGGTACCACCAGCAGACACACTGTGAGGGGCCCTTCGCTCCCTTACATCGCGTCTGCACACCAGGGAGAGGCCGTAAGTACAGACCAGTCCTGTTAGTGTTGAAGTGGCACTTCTCCAGAGTCAGAGGCGAGGCCAGGACACTCCTCCGTGACCCAGGGAGCATGGTCACAGCGCTCTCCTGGCTCATGTGGGGCACAGCCCCATTAGAAAGTGGGAGACTGCCCTTCAGAGAGGTTACAAGGCTTGCCCCAAGTAACACAGAGAGCTGCTAGCCTGTGTGGGGTCTTAACTAGTGAACTCATGTCCCTGGAGCCATGAACCTATGTCTTTTTGAAGTGTGCCTCTGAAAGGTATTTGGAGCCTGGGAACGGGAGAACGAAGCCCTTCTTGTTTATTCATTGCAGTAGTTAATCATGCTTGCTCATTAAAAAAATATGTCACACCTTATATCTAATTTAAATGTGTATGGAATTAGCCTTCAGCCTCTGGTGCATGTTGTGTTCTTCACTGCTATATTTGAGTTAAAAAAAAAACAACTTCTTGAGATTCTGTGGGGTTTTGCTGTGAAGGTTTCATATGCACTAGAGTCACTTTCAAGCTTGTTTTTGAAGAAGTGAAGAAGCAGAATTCTTTCTCTCAAAGGGTTTTTTTTTAGCTCTTCTCAAGGAAAAGTGGAAGACTGGGAGATTAAGGTGAAGACATCTCAATACCAGGTCTGGATGGAAAAACGTTCTTCCTAGGAACTGTAGAGTCCCACATTAGGGGGGCAGATGCCCAGTGTAAAATCAACAGAAGAGATTCATGCAGGTAGGTGTTTGCAGGAGCAGAACCTGTTAGCCTGATTCTCCTTCATAGCTTTCTTAAATAGAGAATTTTAATTTACATTAGCCTGGAATGCTTCTACTTCTTAGTCCTTTGAGTGAGATGAGATAAGAATCTACTCAGGCCAGTCCATAACATTTGACCACTTACCAAGGATACTTTTCTCCCCTCCTGTCCTAAGGGATCTGTAGGTTCCTCCTTTTAGAGGAGTACAATCCAGCAGTACTTACTGTGGTTAATGGGTGTCTCTTTTGGCTGGCAGAGCTGGGGTGAGAGAGATCATATGGCCTGCACTTTAGGAGGAAGAAGAGAAAAACCCACAAAACACCTCTTTGACCTGCAATCAGTTTGGCTTTTTCTGTTATTTGCAGGAGTCTCTTCCACTTCTTGTATCTCCTAAATCCTTGTCATCCAGGTTTGAGAGCTGGGAATATCCTCTCTGGCACCAAGTCAACGATCTGTTTTTTAGCACCAGCAGCCATTCATATTTTACATGGTGTTCATCTCTGTTCCTTTCAAGCAATAATTGTAAATATCAGCTTTCATTCCTAGAGTGCCTTTCATCCCAGGGGCTCCCACAGCACTTTCCAAGCTTAACAAGCTTATTGTAGAGTACTCCTTTAGAAAGGGTGAAACTTGCTTCCCGTTAAAGCCTGATTTTGGGAAGGAAACTCACAAATTATAATGTTTTCAATGCACGAGGGAGCCATTGCAGCTGTTATTTACTGTATATGTTCCCTTACCAAAAAAGACTACTTCTTGCTCCTCCACCTCCCCATCTCCCCCAGCTTAATCCAGCAGTGTTCAGTTACCTGGGGGAGAGGAGTGCAAGTAATGAGAGATGATTGTCCCCTGGGATTTGAGGAAGTGCTTTTTTTTTTTCTGGAATCCTGCTGCTGCCCTTAACAGTTTCTTCTGACAACTCCATTTTCATCCAGTCTATTTTCTCTTTAATGGGGCAAATGTCCCAGGGCAGAGTTGCATGTCCTGTGGCTTTAGCTGAAGAGCTCACCATCTGTGGTTGGGCTGTGTTAAGGATCATGTGAGAAACTGGTCCTCTTCAGAAGAAAGCTGGCCTAATTTAAGTCACATTCCCGAGCAATCAAAGCAAAGCCAGTTGCTTTGCACTGAAATGAATCAGGACCTTTCAAATGGTCCTTTATTTGGCTCATCTGTGGGAGCAGTAAGTTCAGAAGAGAAGTTTGTTGCTGGTAATTTCTGAACTGAATAATTTCTTTCCTCCTGAATCTTATGATTAGTTTTAGGGCAGCTTGAGTCTGACCAATGTCAATTTTTTTTCACTGGTTTCAGGAGGACTCAGTGTGGTGGGATCTATCTCATGATGCACAGAATTTTACTCTATGCTGGCTGTGCAGGAAGAGGTCTGTCCTCTGCTTGGTACATGTGAGGCACATGAACTCCAATTGCTTCTCCAAGGACACGCTGAGAGCCTGTGGTAGAAGGAGGAACAAAGGCCCTATCTCTGGTTCAGTGCTTCAACCGCACAAATGTAATCTATCAATATAGATAGTTCTGGATGAAAGATACATCACGGTGTATTTTTGGCTGCTGCCTTCAGAGGTAGTACTAAATCTCCAGGGGGAATGCAAGCAGTGAGATAGGATTCAAGTTCCAAAATCACCATTTTCTTGCTGCCTTTCCTCCTCTCTCACACTGGTTGGGTTCAAAGGGGAGCCTTTTCTTGGGGTTTCTATGTCATCTCTTCCCATCAGCAGATTTTGGTTCAGAAATGCATTTTCATTCTTTTACAACAAAATGCTATTTTTTTCCAACCCTAACTGAAGAGCTGCAAATTGGCAAAGGATACAAAAAGAACAATGAACCAGCAGCTAGTGTTTACATTGGCCACCTTGTGTAAGTGCTGATATTAGCATTTCTGAAAGGGTTCATTCATCACTGAAAAAAGGTTTACCTGTGAATAAGAGCTTGCTTGGGAGGGCCTGTGTGCCTCCTTTCCTCTATCAACAAAGCTTAAAACATCAAGAGATGGTTTTGCAATGGATATTAATGCATGCCTGTTATTTCAGAATGAGAATAAGTCACTGAAAGTGTTCCATGCCTATTTCTGATGGCGTAACGAAAGCAGCAGTAAATTGAAAGAAAAATCTTATTTATTTTCATGTGTCTTGTTTGTTTATTTAATTATTTAGAGACCTGAATATATATATTAAAAGTGGCTTTCTTGGGCTTTTTTAAAGAATAAAATCCTGTGATTCAACCTTAAGCCTAGGGACTAGTACTCAAGTCACGGAAAATCGCATAGACCTGCACTAGAAAGAACAATGTCTGTTGAAAGCACTGTGCCCTTTCCAGACTGTGATCTCTTCTGGGGATGTCAGCAAAATAAACATACTTTTATGAAGTACCCTTAAACCTTTCTTACCTCTTGCTGTTTGTCACACTTGTTGCAGTTTGCCTTGAATTAGTTGCCTTCACACTGAAGTATGTTGTTTTGCTTAAAAAAAAGAGATCTGTGTGCTCTGCACTGGCCCAGCTGGCGTGCCACGAGCAGTGGCTGAAGGGTGGAAGAGGTCCCCTGCAGGGCCAGCAGACAACATTTGTTACATCCTCATACTGCAGGGTCTCCCAGCAATGAAGGACACATAACAACAGCATTTGTGAGGGAGCCAAAGATGTGCAGTCTCTGTGGGATATCTACATTTTCACTAGGATTCCTTGGGATTCTGTGAGATGAAGATCAAACTTTTTCAGGTACATTGTTATGCTGTAGGCTCTATTATACCATTTTTCTTTTAACCTTTTGATTGCTTCACTTTTAATCTGGAGGAAGCTGAGGGCTGGGACTCTTCCTGGGCACTCATACAGCTCCTGGCATGGTGCAGCTTGAGTTCTGGCAGGAGACTCCGGCCGTTGCTGCAATCCCATTTAAAACCAAAATGACATGTCTGGAAGCTAACCTACTTGCAAGTGTCCCTTTCATGCAAAAAGTGATACTTTGTGAGCACTGATTGTAAAGCAGAGGAAGAAAGCAAGTGTGAATGAAATGGGAGACCGTGGACCAGCCAGGCCACTGCCTTCTATGGGAAGTCCTCTTGGAGAGGTGCAAGTGTCTAAGACTTATCTGGTGGAGTTTCTTGTCAACCCTTTAAATTGTCAGTCAGGGGCAGCTGGCCTGATGGCTGATAAGGAACCATGAGAGTCATCCCATCAACCAGAGGGGTTACACTCTGCCTTTTGGGGGCTGTGACTTCAGCATGGAAGTTGGTTGCATGGTGGGAGCAGAAATAATGCTAGGAATCTCTAAAGGGATGGGTGAGCACATAAATGGCCAGTGGTGCACTTAAGGGATTTCATAGTAGGCAGTTGAAGGAGAGATGCCTTCTCTGCAACAAACGAACACTTCTCTGCACAGAACCAGGATAATTTCCCTTCAATCTGGGGCAGATTGCCAGCAGTCTCAAACGTAATCCTCACAGTATTACTTCCAAAGATGAAACAACAGTATTATGGGCACTGCCACTGAGGCAGGTAATCTTTAAATATAGCTGCAAATTGCCTGGTTTAATGCTAACAAACCCAAATGGTGAGGAAGGCAAGACAGGTAGCAGCACTGATACAGCATAATATAACGTGATGGCTGATGTAAATGTGACTCACTGTAGCCAGAGGCTTTGTTAAAGGAAGTTGGATAAAAGATATAAAAACAAATATGAATTTTTTTCCTTCCTGATGAAGGTCACTGCCAGGAATAGCATGGGAAATAATTAAAGGAGGAAGAAATGTTCTCCTTCAAATTAGAAGTATTGTCTTGCCTCACAGATTTGTTCTCCTCTTTGAGCTCCCCTTAACAAATACCGGCAAACATGCGGGGCCTTTCTCCCTGGAGCCGCTGATGGATATCCCACCCAGCGGGTGATGAATGCAGGGGACTGCTGAATGCAGGGCTCACGGTGGCTGTTAATGGGTGTCCGCCTCCCTGGCAGTCCACCCACCAGCAGTGTGCTGAATGGGCCTGGGAGGCTGAATGGACTCTGCACAGCAGCGGCCAATTTCCCGGTTAACAGGGAGGCGCAGTGCCAAGGCTGTGTGTGAGAGCCCGTGCAGCCTGCTGAGGGGGGTCACCCCTTCCCCTCTGCTCCTGATCCCCGGCGACATGGGTCTGTTTTCCAGCCCCAGCACAGGTCCTGCTCCCCCAGTCCCTACGCTTCATGTGGAAGACGTAGATGACACGGTGACCGCTGCGCTTGCCAAGGAACAGGCTGTTCTCTGCTCATCCTGTGGAGACCTGGGAGGCTCTGGGCTACTTGTTTGCTCCCTGTGACCAGCACTGCACATACAGGTGTGCAAGGGAAGGGGAAGCCATGCAGCTGTGCCTGTGGTGCAGTGTGCATGCAATGCTACCAGAGCCAGGTGCGGTCCGTGGTGCAGCCCTTCTGCTGCGCAGGAATGTGATGCTGCAGTTTAATTCCATTTCATCAAAGTGCTCTTGGAATGAGGATGGGTGAGGAGAGGAGCGAGTGCCTGTGCTCCATGTCACCACCCTGCAGCCTGGGAACTAGGCAGCTGTGAGGGGCTGAGGGGCTGCTGGCTCCCTGGGGCACTGGTTGGTTTGCTCCCAGCCATAGCAGGGAGGGTTGCTGGTGGGAAGCTCTGAGCTTCACATTCCTGACTAAAATCTCCCGTGCATGACTCCATCTGTTCTGCCGTGAAGGACTGGTCACGTTTTCTGTTCTTGACCCCACGTGGCTGCTCTGAACATCCCAGGTTACCTGTGCACAAACCAGCTGCCTTTCCCACCACTTGGCTCTTGGCATCTCACAGCCCTCCATGGCTGCTCAGCACCTGCATGCTGGGTCATTAGGGCAGTTAGCACAGTGTTAAGATTTTCGGAGGGCTTTCCTTTAGGGAGCCCAGGAGGTGAGAATTTGGCTCCTCCCTCAGCAGCCTCCTGGCCCTGCAGTGGGCTTTCAGAAGTAGGAGCACTGCAGAAGTACTGAGTAGTCCAGAGCTCCCATATGGCACAGGAAAAACCTACTATGGGAAAGCTGCTAATAGCAGAGGTAAGCTCTTACCCGCATTTTCCGCTGGCGTTACAGACGCTGGAGAATCAGCTTGTTTCAGCCAGGTTCCCAAACTGCTTTTTGGTGTTCATCCAAAACAAGCCTGTGCATTGAGGTTTCCTACTCCAAAACTGTCTAACTGAATGAAAGGAATTACCTTGGTTGTACAGATGCACCTCCATCTGGTCCTACAGCTACAGGGGGACCATAATACAGCTCCAGCTTGACTTGCCTTTTCTCCCCAAAGAGGAGCCATTTGAAGAATTTGGAGCTCCATCCAGATCTGACTTGCACAGCTGACGACTCTCTGTGTAGCAAGTAAAATCCTAATACAGAAAGCTTGAAGGCAGTACAGAAATGTGGCTGCGCATAAGTGTTGGGTGTTTTCCTGGTAGTGCTCATAATGCTGCTCAGTTTGGAGTAGCTGGGGAACAAGGATCAACCCCACAATGACAATCTGTCACTTGCATGTCTTCATGTTGACTTGAAGTCTGGCCCTTTCATTCTGCTTGCTTTCTCATTTCCCAAGGCACGTATGCTGCTCTTCTAGCCTTATGGTTATGAAATTTGGGGCCACACATTCTCTAATCTGGGGTTTTCACAGCTGCTGCTCCTTGAAACAGCTACAAGAGATGCTGAGTTGGGTGGGATGACCTGTTGCTCTCAGTTTTTTTTCTTCGTAACATCTCTATCAAGAAAGACTGTGAGAAACATGATTCAAATACTTCTAGATCAACTTAGTCTTGTCACACTCAAATGTTATGACTCCTTATGGATGTGGGGTTTGTGAGCTGTTTTATCATGTTTTTTATTATTTTTCTGATGAAAAAAGTTATGTAATTCAGGCTTTTCCTTCTTCCTTCTCTTTCTTGCACTCAAATTTACCATGTTTGCAGATATACTGTGCCCATGTTAGCAACTGGTGTGATGCAGTAGGAGCAGATCCATAGATGTAGATGTTCAGTGCTAAGGACTTGATATGTTTATCAAGGGGGTTTACACCAGACTGCCTCTGTTCTGGTTCCCAAGGATGCTCATTAGGGGTTGGAGCACAGGCAGGAGGAACTCCCCTGGAGTCCATCTCCTGGTTTCCTTTCACTCAAAGGGAATCCAGTTAAAAAAACCTGCTCCCTGGCATAAATCCAAACAGGCAAGCGGAGAAACAAAAACAGGCACATAGAAAGACCTGTCAAAAGACCAAGGTCAGGAAACTGAGCCCAAAGACATTGCTTTACCCTGAGGTCCCACATGTGCAAACGGGTCAGTTATTTGGCTAGTGAAACAGCTGTTTAGCTTGGCTGAGCAGCTCTGTTATTCTGCTGATCTGTTCTTCCCTCTTCATACAGTTCCCTAACCTTCCCCTTTTCCAAACCCTCACACAGCACATACATATATATAAATATATATATACATAAAATATATGTGTGTGCGTAGGCAGTTGTGTCTGCTGCCGGGATTTCCTCCCAAACAATGCCTGTTGTGCTGGCCACAGCAGTTCTCTCGGTTCCCATGCTCAGAGCAGTTTCCTGCTGGCTCAGCAGCAAGACTTTCAGGGCTTTTTATACTTATTCTTCTTTGGGAGCCAAGCGGAGGAGCACAGTTTGCCTGTGAATAGCGAGCAGGCTGGGCAGGCAGCAGGAAGCTTGCATACTAAACTGTGCGAACTTTGAGGAGGGGAGGAAGGGGTGAGGGGCTGCTGGCTGGTGTTTGCTGCAACCCTCTGCCTTACACATTTGTTAGCATAGGGATGCTCCCTGCCAAAGTATCTGTAAAATGGCAGTGGAAAGAAGCAAGAGAGCTGAAAACGGAATTATGGAAGAAACATGAGGAGAGCTTGGAGAGCAGAGAAAAGTGAGGAGGCTTGGGGGTTAATTATTCACGTGAAAACTTGTGGATGGGTTCCCTACGTAGTGCTGCACTGCTGGGCTCACAGACCTGCTTGCTCACCCCCAAGTCACTGCCCTGGCAGCGGCTGCACTCTCCTTTCTGGGTAGTGGCAGCTTTTCTGTATTGCCCAGGCAAAATTAAAACCACAGCAATGAAAATACACTCCTCTCTTGCCCCCTGCACTCTACGCCTTTCTTTTGCTGTCAGCAAAAAAAGGATAAATAAATGGGTTCCCATTTACAAGGACATCATGGTGTTCTTACGAAAAAGGGGTGTAATGAACAGCACTGTGCACTGCTGGTGCCTGCTTGTTGGTTACAGGCAAAGACACTCCTGCAGCGGGGAGAGAGGTAATTCGGCAGGTGCTGTGGCTTCAGCTCCGCTTCAAGTGTGCTTGGAGCATCCTTGGAATAAAGCAGGACGTGAGAGAAAGAAGGGAGGACAGGCTGAGCCCTT